GAGGACTTTTATTCTGATTTACTGTGTGTAGAACTCTTTGTGTTCTACACACAGTGTGTTCATGAAATCCTAATGTTGCTCGTATTTACATGACCAAGTAAAGTTTGACTTTTGAAGGCTGAATACCAACAGAAGTTTTGAAGCTTTCTGGACATTATGGTTATATCTGTTAAAATCATTGCTTCCTTTGCTGTTTAAGAACACCTGCTGTGTTTTCCAGTTTTATGGCACTGCTTCAATTGTTTAACTGATTGTGGCTTTTATTTGTCTTGGATCTCTATTCTTCTTTTACAGCTCCTCTTTGTAGGAGTTAATGTTGTTTTATTGCCTATATTGGTTTCATTGCAAGTCTTTCTAGAGGCTTTAAAGTGGAATGCATGTAATGTGAATGACTCAATCGCTGAACAAACAAATGAATGAAAAAAAATGAATGTGTAAGTAAATCTACGTTTCAGCTGCTCTGGAAGCATTTATATATCCATTGAAAACATTGATCAGTTGAATATAAAGATGGGGAGGGGAGGAGAGAGAATTCAGAATGTGGAAATGAAGTGGCAAAACAGTGTTCATAGCCAGACTAGGTAAGTTTATTTGCCATCAGAGAGATGGGACAAATAAAATATCTTTATAGACTGCAACATGAGCTGCTTTTAGTTGCCTTAAAGGTTCCCCTTGACAAACCTACATGTTTAAGATATTTACTCATTTAAAATCTAAGATTCTACATAAGGAATAAAATGAATTGCAGGAGTCAGTGTCTTTAAATCCGAACAGCAATAGCCTTGGAAAGCTTTTGAAAACCATTTTAAACAATGTTAGGCCTGAAGTCCAAATTTAGTCAAAATACTATTTTTGTCCAATACTATTTTTGAATATTTAGGACAGCAGAGAGGATCTGATTAAATCTATTGCCATTTTATATGAGAACTTGGAATGGACATATTTTTGTTTCATGTTTAAAGTTATCAACAACATGCATGTTGATTATGGAAGACTGACATTCTACAGAGTCTTGTCCATCCATCTTTTTAAAGTTCAGAGACAGTGCCCTGGGGTGGGGGTGAGTCACTGTGGGCATGAATTCCAGGATCCTTAATGTCACAGATGTGAATAAAGTAATAGGGTCAAAAATCTGGATTACTGACAGTGTTAACGACAGGAATTGTAGATTTTCAGAGATGGAGCATTTGAGCAATATTTGCCAAATCTGTGAAATAATATATGATTTATTTCACATAGCATGGAAGAAGAAATGGTAGATGGGCTAAAACAAAGATGCCTGCAAAAGGTGTCAGAACATCTAGTATTTTGTTCAGGGCAAGGAATTTAAAAAGGACCCTTCAGGAAATGACATTGAGTTGTCATACTTTTGCTCCAAATAGCTTTTATGATCATTTATTATTAAGGATGAATACCCAGTGTGGTATAGTGGATAAAATGACAGACTAGGACTCAGGAAACCTGGGTTTGAATCCCTGCTGAGCCATGAAAACTTACTGGAGTAGTGGAACTGGTAAAACCACTCCTTAAATATCTCACTCACCTTGAAAGCCCTATCAGGGTTGCTATAAGCTGGTTCTGACTTGATGGCACATAGCATAACATTATTAAGCATGATTCAGCCAAAGTGATTAATACTGGGCACAACCAAGCAAATGTTCATTTCTTTAAAAGTTTTAAGGGGATTTTTGCCATTATTACTGGGGAAACTCTAAAGATTTACAGAGCAATCCAGCTGGTCCTTAAAAGGATCCACATTTTACTGCATCAAAGTTATTGGTGGGGCATGTGTGATGATGAGAGTGATCATGATTATTACATGGTATATCCTAAAATGTGCACCAAATGCCATCTTTGGAAGAAAGAGGGGAAATGGCATGATCGTACTGGAAAAGTTAACCCATTCACTGTACAATTTGTGTGATAGCCATCCAGATCATGGTACACAACATAGCTTTTTGTTAACAAAGAGATTTGGCAAGTTCTAGGCATGATTTTAAAAGGAGCAGGGTGGAACCTACATGCTAAAGGAGAGATGAAAATAGTATTTCTTGTTAGTATCATGTTCTCTCTGAAAGTCTTCACTCAGCTCTGTCCCAAGCAATCAAACTTTCTAATGAAGCCTGAGTTTGCCTCCCAGTGTCCAATGAACAGAAGCAAGTCATTATGCAAAAGGTGGGTTGGGGCAAACTCAGGAAATGAGACATCTTCTACCTCTTAAGGAGATTCTGCTTCCAACGACATGCCGACTGTATCATCTAGTTCAGCTCTCTATAAGGCTGTTTGTGTTCTCTTGTTACTCCAAATAATGCCATATAAAATTAAGAATTTGATACATACATGTTTGTATTTGCTGCAGCTGTCAGCCATTCCCCAGCAAGTCCTACGATGTCAAGGCCACTGGAGAGTTGGTTGAAATAACGAGGATGTCCTTAAAAATAGAAATAAATTTAAACATGTCATAGCTGCAGAAATATAGAAATGTGCTACATTACAGCACAGCTCATTGGGAGTGTAAGGTAGCAGACAGCTGGTGTGAAAAAGGAAGCAAGGTCCAAACCTAAAACCTCCATGGCTAGTCAATGCATCTGGGCAGCTCTGTCAAAGGTGGTGTGAAATTTTGTATGCATAGGTGTGCTCCTAGATACCTGAACTGAGATGTATTGTAGTGCCTCTGGGAAAAGCAAGCACATTTCTTCATATTTGTGACAGAGAAAAAAACTTGATTTTTTTTTTTTAAATCAAGGGGAGGAAAATTAAAACCAAAATATTTCACCATCCAGATGGATTGTTCAGAACACTTAGCACTTAAATTTTGTCTAGATTTCAATCCTATATATTCAGTTTTGATGGTGAGGGTCACTTATCTTTCTCAACTGCTCCCCACCTTTCACAGCTACATGACAATTGCTCGAGCTGCTGTTGAGCGTGGCTCACCTTTGCCACCTCCCTGGATAACGTGATACCTTTTGGTCTCACAAGAGCAATCGGGCGAGAGGGGGAAATATTAGGTTATTTAAGGGATGTTTCCCCCTCTCCCCATCCTCTTCCTTTTCTGGCAACGGTGAAGGACAGCGCTCTGCTACTCGATTCTATTTTGGCTGCATCACGGATCATGGCCTTTGAAGAACTGGGTTCAGAGGTTTGGATTGGCGCCTGGTACTATACAGGGTAGGTTATCTGCACTTGCATTCCATGCTATCTTAATGGCTATCAGGATTATTCCTCAGATTACCACATCAAGAAAATGATCGAAGGTTGGCCCAAGGAAAGGGGTAGAGTACCGGACACTAGGGCTCCCATATGACCTGCGCGGTGAGAAAGAATTTGTAAGCAGTGGGAGTTTTTGTGTAGGGACCAATACGGCATTGCTTTATTTAAAGTGGCGTCCTTGTTGATGTTTTCTGGGGTCCTCCGGATTAACAAGGTAGTTGCTACAGGGAAGAATGACAGGACCAGGGTAGCACTGCAATGGCAGGATGTTTGTACTGTAATGGTTCAAATACATATTTGATGATCCAAGGCTGATCAACTAGGTAGGGGTGCCCAACTCACTTTAGCATATTGCCATATGGAAAGCATTTGCACCGTGAGAGCCACAACTGCGTGGCTAGAGGTGCGGGTGCAGGACCAAAGCTATTTCTTTAAACACAAAGGTGATTTCCCCACTAACAAAGTATCAGTTTTGGAAGTAGACAGATGTAAAACAAAGTATCAGTTTTGGAAGTTGACAGATGTAGCTCTGGATAGGGTTGGTGTGCAGGGCTGAGATTTGGCACACATTCATTTAGAATTTGTGCAGCATCCACCATGGCAGCCTTGGGATATAACACAGATGAAACTAAGTGTTTGGGTCGATGGTCTTTATCCATCTATTGTAGATACATCAGAACACCTCCTAATGTCTAGGCAGGTGCCTGCTTTTGTTATATCTTTACAGGTCTCATGGCGACGGTGAGGCAGAGGCACGTTGTTATTCTGGGCCACAGCTATATTCATTGGGCAGCATGTTATGTGGCTACATCCCCAAAGGGGAGCAACTTGGGCCTTGGAGCCAGTGCTCACATCCTTTGGAGAGGGCTGTGCGGAATGCTATGGAGTCAGCTATGTAGGGCAGTGGCCTTCGGCCAGGTTCCACCAGATGTGTTGGTAATACATCTGGATGGCAATGATCTGGCCAGACATTGATATTGTAAGGCATTGATATTGGACATTTTGCGCAACCTGAAACGGTTGAAGGCCACATATCCAGCAATGCATGTTGTGTGGTCAACGATCGTCCCTCCGTTGGCATGGAGAGATGCCAGGAATTTTTTCTCTCTGTTAACACAGCACGCAGGAGTGTTAACCGGGAGGTCTGCAGAGCGGTCTGCAGCGGCCTTGGATCAGTGATTGGTCACCAGAGGATCCGCTTGGATAAGCCTGAGTTTTTTCAGAACGATGGTGTACATCTGTCTGAATGAGGTTTGCAACACTGACTATGTTTAATAAAGTGTGGCTTGTGTTTTAATCCATATTTCTTATCTTATGTCTTTATTCCGGGGTTGAGAAGGCAAATGGCCCTTTCCATGCTGAGAGCACCAGTTCCTATTGACTGCGACTGGTTGAGATGGAGGGGCATTTAATTCCAAAATAAAGTGTGGCTTGTGTTTTAATCCATATTTCTTATCTTGTGTCTTTATTCCTGCTGAGAGCAGCAGTTTCCATTGAATGTGATTGGTTGAGATGGAGGGGCATTTAATTCCTGTTTGTTGTTGCTAAGAATTTATCAAATTCTACAATTTCTTCGCAGACAGGATAGAAACAACTTCTCTCCCCCCCACAAAAAAAAACACACACTGAATAGTGGGGGAAATGGCAGATCTATCCTTCTCCATTTGTTACCTGTTTTAGCTCCGTATTTCAAAGTATCCCTACAGTCAACCAATATCTGCTCCAAAGGTTCCGGTTGTTCAGAAAGTTCCACACTGAAGCCTTCCAGCCCTTCCAGAAGTTGATGGGGATGGTGGAAATCCAGCACTTTGCTCTTTCTGTCATAGGTCTTCTTGATATAACTCAAGAGAATATCCACCACTTCATGAAGGAAATGGTCTGTACATTCCTCTCCATTCTGGGCAGGGAGTAGGTCTGGAGGAGAAAAATGTCCCAGGAAGGGATGTGTAATGAAATGTACGATTCAAGAGTAATGTTCTGGCAAAGGAGCGTTCATATAAGATTGCCACATTGCCAGTGAATTAGCCTTGTGCCTTTATATTCACAATTGAACAAAGGAAATATGTCATTTCAGGCCCTTTCTTTCATTCATTCACTGTATAGATTCATAAACCAACTTTTAAATAAAAATTTCCTCAAGTAGAGTTCTCTGTGTACCATACGAGAGAGAGAGAGAGAGAGAGAGAGAGGCAGGAACAGAGAGAATGAACTCGGCTACACAATGGTCAAACTATGTATGAGAGAAATGGATTGAACAAGACCTGGCTGTGAAAGGTAGGAGCACTCCAGGATTTGAGCAAAGTGGGGAGCCACATCCCAAAATGGCGGAGGTGTGAATAAAAAAATGGACTCTAGAACAAAGGAGACTGTCTCAGCGCAGATAGCGTTATTAAAAGTAATAAGATCTTATTGCAATTAGAGGCACATTACCCAACAGGAAATTGCAACTGTCCTGTGGCGCAAGGCAATTTGATCATACACTGTTAAGAATTTTATAGCCTTGATACAAAGTTGTCTACACCCTTTTGCGGTTTTTTGATGTTCCAGGAGAACAGTGAAACACTGAAGCTGTGGTCAACTCTTGCCCAATATCATGCAGCAGTTCCTCTCTTTCAGTACATTTCTCATCCAGTGGTATCTCTCCCCGGCTGTCGTCTTTGACTTTTGTGAGGCATACAGCCCTGAACCATAGTTTTAATTCTGATTCAGGCCTACATGCTCTTCTCAGTGTTAACATGCAATTTCCACCTTATGTTTTATTTTTCTCACAGGGGGGAATTCTCTCTGCTTGGATCGTAGGCAGGCAATGATGAAATGAACTCTAACAACCTTCCATTTACAGTGTCCAGATAACAAAAGAAAAACACCTCCCCCCCAAACCCCTTCAGACCTCTTATGTGGTTTGCTTCAGATACTTCTATGAAAACAAAAAAGGTGGGCATATATATTTTATTTATGGCTTTCCAATTTTATCTCACCCATCTAGTGGCTAGACTACTACTCTGGGCAGCTTACAACATCACGTTATAGACAGAAATAACATTCCATAATTAAAAATCCAATGATAAACATCGAATTAAAACTGCAAACAAAAGAGAACCGTCCCCATACTAACTAAAAACACAGCATAGCAAATGATGGTGGCAGAAGAGAGACACAATAGTTTTTTAAAAAGTGACCTTTTGCTTTATACGTCCATGATAATGTTAAAGGGGAGAGCTAGACAGGCAGAAAACCCATGCAATGGAGAAGGCATTCAGAGAAACGTGACGCTTCCTCAACTCATCACTATGCAATGCATAGAGACATAAACACAGAGACACTCACACTTATGCAAATGAATGTCTCTGCTGAAACAAAATAGGAACCTTACCTGACTCATAGATGTTGGAGAAATTTGTTACACAGCTGTCAATGGTACAATTATTTTGTCCCTCCTCACATTTTCCCTGGAAACCAGACTTCCGCTTTTCTTTCTGCTCATTGGTACAGCCTTGCTCATCTGGGAAAGTAGCATGACCATGTGGAGAAAAAAGTCAGTATTCAGAATGTGGAGTGCATTGGTACAGCCTTGCTCATCTGGGAAAGCAACATGACCACGTGGAAAAAAAAACGTCAGTATTCAGAATGTCGAGTAGGCCAGTTAAAAGAACCATATCAGTGCAGAGTTATAACCTATTTGATAATACTCCAGCAGTATTAACTTCAATAATAGATATAAGATATCCAGCCATAGATAGTAGGGGTGGGCAACTTCAGTAGAGGAGAATCAGGATGCTATGGAGGCTGTGTGGAAGAAAATGTGGCTGGAGAATGAAGGCAGGTGTGCCCAGAAATCCATTGGGTTCTGAAATCTGCAAGGAAGAGGGCTGTGATGTATCATTGCTCCTGGGAATAATTCCAGGAGTGACAAATTACTTTTTTTTTCCAGTCTGATGGGGCCAAGAGCACAGAAATGGCCTAGGAAGGCTGTGTGTGGTGCCAGTGTTGCACTTTGCTCTCAGAGAAGGGCTCCCGTTCTTGCCTGTACTCAGATCAGGAGCTTTGCAGTACTGTTCAGATAAGACTTCACCAGCCCTGCCAAACACTGAACACTTCTCCTGATGTGCTATATAGAGCACATACTTAACACGTTTTAAAATCTGATTATTTCATAGCTGTATAGTGGGAGGGCTGCCGTTTCAGAGGTGGAAAACACAAATCCCTGGCTCTCATCTCTTTTTTTTCCAGTCTGATGGGGCCAAGAGCACAGAAATGGCCTAGGAAGGCTGTGTGTGGTGCCAGTGTTACACTTTGCTCTCAGAGAAGGGCTCCCGTTCTTGCCTGTACTCAGATCAGGAGCTTTGCAGTACTGTTCAGACAAGACTTCACCAGCCCTGCCAAACACTGAACACTTCTCCTGATGTGCTATATAGAGCACATACTTAACACGTTTTAAAATCTGATTATTTCATAGCTGTATAGTGGGAGGGTTGCTGTTTCAGAGGTGGAAAACACAAATCCCCAACTCTCATCTCTCCTCTGAGTAAACCACCAGCAGCTTGAACCATCTTGACACCCAGAACACACCCATCTCATCTGGCTTCAGAAGCTAGGAAGAACTAGATCTGGTTACTATTTGGATGGGAGCCTACGAGGACAACATACCACAGATCCCCAGGTAGAACTAAGAATGTGTCCTACCAGAAGCCCCGGAGAACAGGTTCTACTAGGCAATACGGAGGCAGAGAGGCTATAAAGGTCTGACTTTATAGAAGTAGTTTCCTATGTTTCTAACCAGTGCGTTCTTCTTTCCTTTATTCTCCTGCTTCTGGTTTAGTTCTCATCTTACATACAAACATTTCATCTGAAGTTAATCACAGTCATATACTTGATCAATGGACAACTGCATATCCCCAAGGTGGGTGTTGGCTCCTTTAGAAAATTAGAATCTGTGAAGGGAAGGAAAGACCAGGCTCCCAGGGGCCTGGCCCTCCAAGATCCACATGCTGGCTGGAAATGTCTGAAGTGGGGACCTTGCAGTGTGCCTGTAGGAAAGGCATACAGGAGTTATAAATCGCATAGCAAGCCTAGGCCCATGTGCTTACAGCAATGGATGGATAGAAGGTTCATTTTGGTTCATTTCCCCCAGTTTCATCTGAAGTTAATCACAGTCATATACTTGATCAATGGACAACTGCATATCCCCAAGGTGGGTGTTGGCTCCTTTAGAAAATTAGAATCTGTGAAGGGAAGGAAAGACCAGGCTCCCAGGGGCCTGGCCCTCCAAGATCCACATGCTGGCTGGAAATGTCTGAAGTAGGGACCTTGCAGTGTGCCTGTAGGAAAGCCATACAGGAGTATAAATCACATAGGAAGCCTAGGCTCATGTGCTTACAGCAATGGATGGATGGAAGGTTCATTTTAGTTCATTTCTCCCAAATTTGCAAATTTCTTCATTTTGGGGCTGGAAAGAACGTGACTTTTTAAAAAAACTGATGAAGAAAAAAGTCAAGACTGACATCAGTTTTCCCAGGCCTTGAGTTTTGAGTACTTAGCTGCTAAAACTTTGCCTTTGAAACTTTCTATAGTGCTGATTTAGAGTTATGTTCTCTTTTTTCTTATAGGCTCAGCATCTTTATTAGCTATTTGATGAACAGATTCAGCATGTTATTCCTCTGTACTAGGGGGAAGAACTCCACTTCCTAAATTATATCTGTATTACCCAGCTTGCTGGGGGGGGGGCAATGTGTAGCCTGCATAATTAAATTGTAAACTGCCCAGAGAGTGCTTGAAGCGCTATGGGGCGGTATATAAGCAGCACACTTTGCTTTGCTTTTGCTTTGCTTTATTAGCTATTTGGTGAACAGATTCAGCATGTTATTCCTCTGTACTAGGGGGAAGAACTCCACTTCCTAAATTATATCTGTATAAAGTCGCACCATTATGATGAATCCGCTTCATGATGAACTTTTTGCGATGTGTTAAATAGGGTTTTTTTGCTTCCCGATGATCAGTTCCCTGCTTTGGGAACCAATTCTTCGCTTAACAGCTGATTGTTGGGTTTTCAAATTGGCCACTGGGTGCTTAAAATGGTTCCCCGCTGTGCTTAGGGATGGATTCCTCGCTATACAGGCACCGAAAATGTCCTCCGTATGGAGGATCTTCGCTGGATGGTGAGTTTTTAGCCCATTGGAACGCATTGAACAGTTTTCAATGCATTTTTTAATTTCGCTTCACGATGTTTTCATTCTACAGCGATTTCGCTGGAACAAATTAACGTCGTTAAGCGAGGCACCACTGTAAATGGGGATTGTTCCCCCAGGAAAATTTACACAATTGTTTTAAGGATGAAAACAGCTTTATTTTTAAAAGTGAAGCTGGCCTTCATAACCAATATGTGCAGAATAAGATGGCTGGTCATAGGGGCATAGAGGAAAAGGTACAGCTGGTGGGTGAGTCCCATCTTTCCCTTGATTGAATTCTAACAATATGAAGGAACTCAATGCCTAAATAGGCCTATCATCTGCCTAAATTTTGGATTCATAGAATCATAGAATAGCAAAATTGGAAGGGGCCTACAAGGCCATCAAATTTGACCCCCTGCTCAATGCAGGAATATAGAGCAAAGGATATCTGCCACGTTGTCTAAGTTTCTCTTGAATGGCTCCAGTTTTGGAGCACGCACTACCTCTTGAGGTAATTACTTCAATTGCTGTTCTGCTCTAACAGGAAGATTTTCCTGATATTCAACTAAAATCTGGCTTCCTGTAACCTGAGCCCATTGTGGCGTGTCCTGCACTCTGGGATGATCAAGAAGAGATCCTGCCCCTCCTCTGTATGACAGTCTTTCAAGTATTTGAAAAGTGTTATCATATCCCCCCTCTGTCTTCTTTTCTCAAGGCTAAACATGCTCAATTCTTTCAGTCTTTCCTGCTAGGATTGTTTTGGCTTCACGCATCTCATCTTCCTCAGGATTCTTGGGCTTGAAGCAGCCTTATATAAGATCACATATTCTGGTTGAACAGGGTTCTTTTCAGCTATATTTGTATTTCTGTTTGTCTAAGGTGTTCCCAAAGTATCTAGAAGTACCTCCCTTGCTTTTGGTGACTATATAGTCTTTTCCCCCCCAGTTATTTAAAACACAAGGACCTTTCATCTAATAAAGAGATGGTTGGTAACATATCCAGTTCCCAATTTCCTGTCTCATTTGCATGCTCCTCTTTTAATAAGATGAGATATGTCCCTTTATTTGTTTATCCCCTCCCCAGCCCTAGATATGCATGCCTGTTATCACCTGGAATACGAATCTTTTTAATTTTATTTTAAGGAAGCTGAGTGGGCTTGTTTAGCCCTTGGACAAGAGACCACAAGGGAGTGTCTGGGATCTACAGGTTGGTAAGGAATCCTGCCTTAAAACCTAAAAAGCTGTTGCCATACAGAGTTGACTCTACTAGACTAAGCAGACCAACAATCTGACTCACTGTGAGTCAACTTCCTACATTCCTGAATTGGACACAGTATTTGAAAGCATTTTCCCACGGACTAGTGGTTAAACTGCTGTACTGCAGCCAAAACTGTGCTCATGACCTGGGATTCAATCCCAGGTAGCCGGCTCAAGGTTGACTCAGCCTTCTATCCTTCCGAGGTCAGTAAAATGAGTACCCAGTTTGTGTGTGGGGGGGGATTAATTAACTAACCTGCGTAATTAACTTGTAAACCACCCAGAGAGTGCTTGAAGCACTATGGGGCAGTATATAAGCAGCACACTTTGCTTTTTGTGTTGCACTCTGGAGTGCAAAGTGCAACCGTCATGTACATAATGACACTTTGAATCAAGACAAACCTTGAAATAAAAACTGAATCCATGCATGTCCTTACAGAGAATATGGATACCATAACACCTAAAGGCAGAAGGGATCTTACATAGCTTTTAAAAACATCTCATTCTCTCTTCTGTCTATTGAAATATCTGCTAAATTGGGCCCACTTGTGAGGACTTGCTATAATTTCACCTGCCTACATAACAAATCAGAACACAAACAATTTTAGAAAGCAGCAATCGTACTGTATGCCACATCATCTGATTATGGCTGTTTAAACTGTGCCGTAAAGAAACCACAGAGGTTTACATTCTTGCTTTCAAAAAGAGTACTCATTCACGTGCTTTTAAATCACTCAAGGAAAAAAAAAAACCACTAAAGCCATTTTTCCACCTGCTGAATGGTGTCGTCCTTGCTCGTGCCATCTGAGTGATGAAAAGAACAACCTCAGTTACCAGCTTTTGCTTCACCAACTCTATAGCAAAGCCTGCTCTATAGCAAAGTAAAATGACATTTTGCTATTCTATCCTTCTCTTTGCATGCCAAACAATAGCAGGGTTGTGGTATTCATAAAAGCAACATCAAGGCCAGCTCTAGCTTGGGTATATTTGGAATTCAAGCCTAATATTTCAAAAAGCCTCCTGTTTCCTTTATTATTATTATTATTATTATTATTATTATTATTGTTGTTGTTGTTGTT